TAAATAAAAAAACAAAAACAAAGGAAGCTTGTTATGAAACGACTACTTAAGTAGAAAGTGAGCAGTGAAAAAGAAGGAAAATAAAAGAATAATTCTATTTTCTGTTGCCTGCGTTGTTGACTGTGAGTAGGGAAGAGGTTAAAGTGGGATTGAGCGTGTGGTGAAACTCTAACATCAGCTGTCGTCGCTCAGCGTGGGGAAAAGAATCACAATTCATATTGAGGGCTGCAGTGAGTTTCTTTGTGTACAGGCTGTGATCAGCTGATCTGGGCTACTGCTCTGAGGTTTACTGCCCTTTGTGGATTTACACACCTCAATTTAAGATGTAAGCAGATGTTTTATGAGTTGTCCTGTTCCATCCTCTACACTGTTTGTACTGTCTTTATATTAGACAGTATAAAGTTGGTGAAGGTGGAATTTGATGAATGAATCTCAGCATCATCAGCTTAACTTCAAATTCATCTGTGCTGTACCTGATATAATCTAACTCTGACCATGAAACACAGCCACTGTGCACCAGTCACACACTGTTCTTTACTTTTAATCCATCACAGTACAGCAGTATCTTCACTAATCTGCAGAGGATCTTCATCCAATTCTTAAAAAACAGTCTGCCTCAGTTTGATTAGCAGTAGTTTCGCATTATGATAAAGCGTAATGTGACATGTACACACATAATATTTGGGTGAAAACATGAGGATTTATATTAAAGCTTTTCCAGTATATCAAATCCCACTGAGCATCCTTACCTTTACATCTAACCTGTTCTTCCTCTCCTGTCCTGTCTTATCTTTCTCCATCTCTGGGTGAGCTCTTTCTTTTCTCTCCTTGTGAAATACAGCAGCTGGACCTTTAGCTAGCAACACACTGTGCAACAAACTGCACACAAGCAGTTTGTGTGCTTGCTGATGTTTGTTAAGCTGATAGAATTATTAAAAAAAGATACTCGTTTTGCTCCTCTCACTCTTCGTTCCTCCTTTGTAGCACTTGTGCACACCTGCAGTCGTTCTGGTGTCGTGCCCAAAAAGCACAAAACAAAAAAACTCACCCCAAAACACCAGCCCACTTTAATTCCCGACTATGGTACATGATTTTACCTCTTTCGTCTTTTTATACAACCTGCTGATTAATACACAAACAGAATTGTCTTTCACGTGTTACTGTTTAGGCTCAAATTGGTTTGATGGAGTGACGTAAAAAAAGGTTTGCCTCACACCTCAAAATGCATCAAACCAATAGTAATGAGCCTGTTTTGAAAATGTAAGGAGAAAAAAGTACAGATTTTTATTTAAGAGAGTAAAAATAAAAAGTTGTCAGAAAGATAAATAGTCAAGATACCTGAAAATTCTACTGAAGTACAGAAACTAAGTATTTGTACTTCATTACTTCCCACCTCTGCAGCACTACTACATTTACTAAATTCTAAAACCATCAGTTACTGCCAAAGACCCGGTATGATTCATTGTTAATAATAACATATCAGAAAGTGCTGCAAACAGCATCACCGTGCTGGGAAAATGAAAACTGACACTAGACAGATGTCGACGCGTGCATTTAATCTGCAGGTAAACATGTTTACTGCTGCTGTGACACACAGATCCTCTCTGTGTGTATGTGTGTGTGTGTTTGTGCACTATAGAGAATTAGATTTCCACCCTGCACCTGATGATGCTGCTGCAGAACAAAAATGATCTTCATGATGCAGAGACACAACCAAATAAAATGTTTTGCCTCATCCAAACACATGCGCTAGGCACATCCAATGAAGCAGGGTGACAAACTATAACAGAAAACTGTTCTAACAGCTACTTGTAAAATTTCTTTTCTTCCCACCAGGTTGCCAGGATACTGGGAGTGACTCCAGAGCTTAAAGGTCAAATGGGCGTGTCCTCCGGTCTGGAGCTGGTGACGCTGCCGCACGGTCGTCAGCTGAGGCTGGACCTGATGGAAAGGTAAATACACTGTATTGGTTAGCTCTTTTGGGGTAGTAGCAGACACAATTCAATTCTCTTCTGTTTTGATTGTATAGAACTAAATCACAACAGCAGCCGCCTCAAGGGGCTCTATACTTTAAGATAAAGATCCTACAATAAAACAGTCAAATGACCCAGTACGAGCAAACACTTGGCGACAGTGGGAAGCAAAAAGTCCCTTTTAACAGGAAGAAACCTCCAGCAGAACCAGACTCGAGGAGGACAGCCATGACCAGTTCTGGGTGAGGGGAGGAAGACAGGACAAAGACGAGATGTGGGCGAGAGCCAGAGATTAATAACAACTAATGATTAAATGCAGAGAGGTGTATAAAGACATGGAGAGTGATGAACAAAGCTCAGTGCAGCATGACTAAGGGACTAGTTGTTAGAAGTTTGAACTGAAGCTGATATACCACCATTAAACATGTCGTACAGGGGAACCCATCGTGGAACTCGCCCCTCCAGGCAGTGAGGTCTGTAGTTAGACTACTGCACCGCTGGACCATCAGATAAGGAACAAAAGACATTGCTGTTGGGGGCTGTTTGTAATCCACCCATCTCCTCCATCTGTCTCCTAGGCACCACACCATGGCAATAGCTGTTGCTGTGGATATTCTGGGATGTACGGGTAGCGTGGAGGAGCGGGCTTCCACTTTAAATCGCCTCATTCTGGTTGCTATAGAGCTGAAGGACACGGTTGGTGACCTGTTTGCTTTCACAGCCCTGATGAAAGCTCTGGACCTGCCTCAGGTAATGAATGCCTAGCCCTAAACCCTAAGCATAACCCAATCGTAACAATGACACTAAAGCCACATTTTGAGTCTCAAAAATGCCTTCAAACTTGTGGGAACTGGATTTTGGTCCCCATAAATTTAGTAAACTTCCAATTTATGGTCCCCACAATGATATGAATAGACACACACACGAATATGACAACTAAAATCTCTCTATCATGTAAAAAAACAAAAAAGGAGAGATTTAATTGTAGTTTGAAACTCTTAAAGTTGATGTTTGTTGTTGATGTAGATCAGTCGTTTGGAGGAAACATGGACGACTCTACGAAGGAATTTCACACAGACCGCTATCAGCTACGAGAAAACACTCAAGCCTTTCTACAAGAATCTGTACGAAGGCACCGGTAAGAGGACAAACACAGCCTATAGCCACTGATAACAGCTTAAAGATATAATACGTATTATTTCCCAAAAAGAGAAAAGAAATTACATCAAATCATCATTTAGACTTACAGGAAGTGTGAGGCTGTGTTTTTGGGACTCTCTGAAAATGTAGCATCCAGGTTACATGGTCTCCATCTCTGTGTTAGTCAGGGCTGTATTAAGGGTATCGAGGATGTGCATGTGACTTAGAATCCAGACACCACACGACTGACTTCATAGTTTTCATCAACAACCTTTGTTTTTCCTGGTGAAAGTAAGATGATAACCAGGTCTGGACTGGGACAAAAGATTGCCACGGCATTTTTGCTCCAGGCAGCCCACCTCACTCTCCGCTAGCAACAGCAGCCTCCTGTGACTGTGAGGGTTGTTGTTGATGCTACTGTTAACGGTACAGCAGCAGCAGCCCGATAACTAACATGTCGGCTAATTTGACACATTTTGGTGCATATGTTTTTGCTTTGTTTTTATTTTTCTCTCTTAGGTTTGCCCCTAAATCTTTTCACTTTTCTTTGGCCAGCAACCAATTCTTCCACACTTAACTTTAATCTGCATGAACACACAGGGAAGGTAAGGGAAGGGCCGGTTGCCAAGTTGATCGTAGCCTGTATGACTATATCGAAAAGAACAAAATGTATATATTATAACAACAAACATGTCGTGTTCGAAGTCACTTAAATAACCTCGCTTCCCCATTTTAAAGTTCAAATTAAACTTCAGCAGATCGCCTTGACCACGTCTACATGACTAAATGCATCAAGTTGCTGCCATGTGATTGGCTGATTAGACATTTGTGTAAAGGAGCAGTTGAACAGGTGTGCCTGATACAGTTGCTGGTGAATGTGAGAATTTGGATGATAGCATTACTGTAATTTAAAATATATATATCCTATTGTTCATAAATGAAACATCATCAAATAAATTGAGTATATTTTGTTTCGTCTTTTTAATAAAATACATGGGGTAAGTAGATCCTAAGCATTGTCTTATAAAAGGGTTACTGTTGCTATAAAAAACCCTTTTGTTCAAATTCAGCCAGTAAGGATGAACATTGCATTATTTTTTTCTATATTTACAGCTTAAAAAAAGCAAAAGTCAGTGTTTATGTTTTTTATGGCGCTCATAAACTCTACTAACCTCACTCTGCTGCAGCCTCCTCTCCTCCGGTGGTCTGTGTGCCCCTCCTCCTGCCATTCCTCACGCTGATGGAGCGTCCTTCAATTGCACCTGACGGGGTGGAGCTCTGGGAGACCAGCGACCAGGGCTGTGACATCATGCTGCGCCACCTGGAGGCTGCACGCAACATTGCACGCAATGCGCACGGCTACACTGCCAATGCACAGAAGATCTTACAAGGTAAACACCAGAAGAGTCCACCAAATTCTACCAAAAACGGGCGTCACGTGTTCCTTTAAAAACAAATGAATAAATAAAATCCACCTGTGTGTTTGTTCTTTAGGGTTTCAGTGTGACGACGATCTGCTCGAAGTGTTTAAGACAGACTTTCAGCTGCGACTGCTCTGGGGAAGTCGCGGAGCTACGGTCAACCAATCAGATCGCTACAACAAATTCAACCTCATCCTCACTGCGTTGTCACGGAAACTGGAGCCTCCATCCACAACACCAACCATAATCTGACTTCTTCTACGTGAACACAGCAGAACAGAAAAGACAGGAAGTGATTAGTGAGCCAATCAGGATCATCAGGAGGATCACTGTTCTCTGAAGGCGCTCCGCAGCACAGCAGGCGGGAACGTTCACCTTCAGGTCAATGTGCTCTGATGGAATGTGAACCAAAGCCGGGCTCATTTCATTCATGAAAAGCTTCAGAACATCTGTGAAAACTGAACTCCTTTTGTTCAGTCCAGATGTTCACTGTCCCGTCAGGTCAGCTTTAATTATGTAGCCCAATATTACACATCCCAGGTTTGCCTGATGGCTTTTTAGAGTGAAACAGCTTCTGATTCCCTTTGTCTGAGAAAAGGATTAAGGGGAATAAATACAAATTTTAGGAAGGAGAAAGAATGAATTTACAGTACGGACAATCACCAGAAAAAAACCTTTACAGCTAAGTAGTTTCAGTCAAACAAAACACTGGAAAGCTCAAAAAATATTACCGCTGTCATGACACAATAGACTGAAAAGTGATGTCTGCACCCAAACACCTCAGACACATCTCGCTTTTAACTTTTTTAATCAGACTGATGCAGTGGAAGCTATTTCAGGAAGTGATGTGAACACTGATCCACTTTTAAATTGATAAGTTAATATCACATGGTTGTGTTTAACTTTGCAACAGTGGATTTGAGACTAACTTAGGTAAACTGATTCATACTCATTCATGTTCGTTCATTTTCAGTGGAACAGCTGTCCATCGTTTCCAGCTGTTTTAGTCGGTCTATATCACTGTTTTGAAAATCAGGGTGTAGAGGGGGTAACAAGAAAAGGGTGTGTGTACTGTCTGTACACAAATCACTTGTGCGTCTAATTAGAATGACTGATGAGCAGCAGCACGGTGGTGCGGGTGTCATCTCACAGCAGGTGGGCCTTTGCGTGTGGAGTTTGCATGATCTCCCTGTGATTGCATGGGTTTCCTTGCACAGTCCCAAGACATGCACTTCAGGTGAAATGGTCTTTCTACACTGACTGTAGGTGTGGTTGTCTCTCTGTGTTCAGGGTTTAAATGGCCTGGTAAAAAAATAAATAAATAACGCCACATTGTCGTTCTCATACTGTACATTGCTCCAGCAGCTGTTTTTAGCCTTTGTCTGCAGTGCTCTCTTTAAGATGACTAACGTGTGTGTGTGTGGTCGTTTCTGTCAGATGATGTTGCTCGATGTCGTCAGCGTACATTAGCAGGTTGAAAAATGTCACAACACCTGCGGCACCTGAACAAGTGATAGAGAAAAAGGACGGACAATTGCCAACAGTCTTAAAGTTTGTATTTTTGTTCTGTTTTCTGTTAGCCTCATTAGCTTTGCACTATTATGCTGGTATGTTACATAACAACAAATATATATAATAATCAGGGCACTTTAAATCTATGTGGCCATTTGCTACAAACACCGCTCACCCAGCAATAAGAGGTAAATATCTGAGATGATGAATTCTTCCACTCAGCAGGCGACAGAAGGAATCAGCAGGTAATCATTTTTTGCGAGCAGAAAGTCATGATCTGTGTGCCTGAGTAATGTGTTTGTACAGACACACACGCAGAAATAATGGAAATATGTTAATAAGCAAGACATTAAAGCTGTACATATTTAAAGCATGTTAATAATAGACTGTAAATACTTTCTGTAGATGACTGTTTAAGAAAAAAAAACATGCTGATAAATTTTAATGTTTATATTATTATGAACTACTGTGGTAAGATTAAATGCCATAAGCACGATCTGGAGAAGTTGAGCGTGTTACCATTGAATGTGTGCACTGTCATTGTTCTAAAATCTTCCACAAACTTCCACTGAAACAACTCCACTTCTTTTCAATGCTGCTTATTTTATTAGAACAATATTCTGAGAGAAGAAAAAAAGCATTTTGTTCACAAAGTGTCCAAAGACATTCAAAGTAAAAAGATGTGCACAACAATACGAAAAGAGAAGTACTGCAATTGGTTACAACATGGTAGAAACACAGATTTACATGTTAACATCCTGCTAAAGCACCTTGTACCTGCTGTTCTTGTATTTCTTTCTGATTTTAAATAAAACGTTTAAACAGCTGGAAAGTATCTTTACATGGTTGCTGGATACAAAGTTTCCACAGGACAAAAACAGGAATGTGGAGAACATGTGGTTTTTGCTGGGTAGTGAACAGCACCACGCTCACAGTGTTATTAAAAAACAAACCGTTTGTACATAAAACTTACTGCAGATTTAGTATAGCGTCAAAGCTCAATCGGTATTTAGTACTTTTGCATTATATTCAGAGTTACAGCACAGTGTCCATTAGAATACACAGTTTTATGCATATATTTGGAGTCTGGTGTGTTTTCTCACTTGCAAACTGCTGCATCACTCAGCAGCTCTATAGGGACGGCACGCTCCAAACGGGCCTTGAGCCAAACCAAAGTGTAGCAGTCACATTTAAAGCATCACAGCTAGTTAAGGGTTTGCATGAAATGCTTACCATTCTAAATGCTCCGCAACATAAATGTCAGCAAAATTTTAATCTTATTCCTGTTGGAAGTTTATCACACTCACAACATGATTTCGCTGTCTGACAATAATGGCCTGAAGGTTATGGTGGGGTAAGTTTGAATGCTGAAACAATCAGTGGAACATTCAAGCTTCTCATATGTGAAGCTAACTGGAAGTCATATCTTGCAGTTTGTTGCAACTCGTTCATAATTGTTACACTTGACTGTCCGGCGATTAAAAACTATTAGCTGTGGTCTTCACTGCTTTAAAGCAGAAACTGGATGACCTCATATGACTGCATTAACACTGGAACAAAAAGTCATATGTACACATAAGAAAAATCACTGATGAAGCTTGGTGACGTCTTTGCAAATCAAATCAAATGTACACTGAACAAGTCCTGGAAGTATCAGTTGTAGTCCTAGATGAAGAGGGCGGGGCGAAAAGTTCAAGTAACAACATCTACAGCATTGTTCTGCACGGTTCACAGCTTCATCAAAGAAACATAGATTACAACGAAAGCATGGCCACCTGCTGTTTACACTTACGTCACGTGAGATGAATCGTTGGCGGCTTTTTACGTTAAGTAGTAGGTGTATAATTTTGTTAGTCTAACAGAAGATCAAGTGGGCCATTAAAAAAAAAACTAACTGGTGAATGAATTCAAAGACTACAAAATCATGCACAAAAAAAAGCCTCTTTGCTCAAAATGAGATACAAAAAGAGTATAAAACAGTCAAGAGAAATTACTCACGCTTATTTGTTTGGTTTCTCACGTCTGCACAGGGGTCATTCAGATAGTTAACGTGTCTCTCACCTTCATTCATTCATTCATCTAGTCACTGTTTGTCAGATTTAAATGCTGTAGTACTTTCGGACAAAGTGCATCGGTTCAATTCAAAACATGTCTCTCATAAAAATGGCCGATAAACCTAAAAACAATCACCACGGAAACACATTCAACATGACAGATGTTAATATGTACAAATCATTCAATGGTTAAAACTAACAAAAACGCACATGTGCACAAATTAACATGTTCACATGTATGGAAAGCCTATTAAGCCGGGGGGCAGGGAGGGGACAAAAAACTCATCGGTATGTGTAAATGTTTGGCCTTCCGTACACGAGTACATGTCGCTGATGCATGCGTGCTTGTCATCACATTCACATGTACAACCTATTAAATGGGAAACCTCTTCAGTCGCCCGATAGAGGTCAGGTCAGCCCAGTTGGCCGATGGGAGATGTAGTCAGGCGGAAAAGCAGACGCATCGTTTTATGCTTGTGAGAAAAATCCATCCACAGGAAAACAAGGTGAAGTTTTAAGGCAGTCTTAATTGCAAAGACACCGGAGCTCCTCCTCCTCTTTCTTAGTTTGGTGTTCAGGCACAGTCCGGAGCGAGCAGAGCTGTGGTTTGGTGAGGGAAGGCCGCCATCTGCTGGTCAACTGGTGGAATCGCAACCCAACGAGGAAAAGGAGAAGAAAGAAAAACGGAAAGAGGGGAGAGAGGGCCTGTATTTCCCCGATAGTCCTGCTATCTGTCTAATGAGCCGCACGGAGACATTAAACCGAACAAAATCCCATTCATGCTGGAACATCATGGCATTCGACACACACAGAGCTGGAGTCACATATGCACAGTCACAGATGGAAGGAAAGAAAGAAAACTCGCACAGGATCATAGCTGAGACACATTTATGACACTTTTTTTTTTTTTAAAACAAACAAAAACCCCACATGCGACTGTAAGAGAGTGAAGGCAGGCAACGAGGAGCAGAGTGGCTCAGGCAGGCAGACACCAACACAGCACAGATAAGGATGAGGAGTGAGCAGGAGCGGGACAGGACTGACTGTTGTTAGTGGCAGCAAATGCTGGATGAGCACCTGACCCTGAAAGATAAGAAAACCCTGGCCTGGACTCTGACGTCTGCTGTTATTTTTAATTTATTTATTTAAATCTTGCCACAAGCTGGACGCAAAGTCTGGGAGAAAGTGTGTGTATGTGTGTGTGTGAGAGAGATACACTTTAAAAAAATATGGTGAGAAATTTTTAAATAAATAAACCAGCAAGGTGGGAACAAGTTGTACTTGTGGGGCACTTATAAAAAACAACTTTGTTATTATAGGAGAAAAATTTTAAGACTTGCCCCCAAACAGTGTGTCCAGCAGATACAGAGAGTAATGTAATCTATAGAAGGGATAAGCTGATATTTAACACTAAAAGATAAATTCAAGAAATGTAAAACTAATCAGTTTATTAGGTTCACCAAGCAGAAGTGGTCCTAACCTACCTTTAAAATCCATTTCTTATATTTAGTCACATTTGTACAGGTGACCCATCGATACAAGGTCAGAACAGGGCAGCTCGACATAAAGGCCCACGAAGTGAGCAGCGTGGCACAGAAATAAAAGATCGATGCTCAGCTTTTACTGAAGCTGCTTATGATGGTTTAACAGGAAGTAGTTGGTAAAATCCGGAGCTTTCTGTAGTTTCAACATAAAGTCTTTACAATTCTCACTTAATGTCAGGACTGCATGCAGCTGAGCTTGGTGTAGCTAATAAACTGCTGTGGTTGCTACTTCCTACCCTGAAAGGCAAAAATGGTCCACAGCTCAGAGGTGGGTTTGGATCTCATGTGAAGATATTAAATCCTTTATTGCTTGTTCGTGGCTTTGGCATCATCTCTTCTACCTCCCTCCTCTGAAAGCCCAGAATGCTTTGCTGCTTATGGACACGTGAGCATGCGGACATGCAAACCTCCCCGGCAGCTCGCCTAATCTCCGACCTCCTCCACCTCCCTCTCTCCCTTTTCCGCTCTCTCTCTTTCTTAGTCACCCTCCCCAGCACCAATAATCAGCAATCAGCACGAGCCCTCCACCAGCCAATCAAACCGCCCGGCCACTCTGCGGCCCCTCAGGAACCTGCAGTCACATAGAGGAGAAGAGACCGTTAACAGAAAAGCACACACGAGCTGAACCTGCTCACACTCAGCTCAAGTTGAGGATGCTCGCGTTTCGGACACAGTAGAAAAGTTCAAATGGCGAATGGAAATGAAGGATGATGTGGCGCCCTTTGCTGCGATAAACACTCTTCAGACACGACTTGCTTCAGCTTGCACGGACGCCGTTAATACCTGCGCTGCTTGGTTTTTATCCTCATGGATAGCGGTGGAAACACTGAGGGTCAGGCCAGGTTTCAATCAGTGACTCAAACAACAAACCAGGTCTACATCTTAGTCTCCTGGGCCTAAAAAAGCTCTATAACCGGTTTAAAAACAATTAGGCTCACTAACTGCAACTCTTAATTTGTGTTGATCCTACATAAGACCCTCTGATAGAATTATAGCACATAAAAGCGCTATCCTGATTCAAAAAGGACAAAACAGTGACTAATAATTTTAATTTACTGCTTTGCTACAAACTACAGCCTTTAATTTAAAAAAGATACTTTATTCATTGTGGTCTGTTGTCTCAGTTAGTCCTAATCTAAAAGGCTGGACTGGACTGAAAGTTTACAGAATGTGGGTGTTCAAGCATCCTTCAATAACCTGAGAATTTGACCCACATGAGGAACAAGAATTCCTGCCTCGTCTGATGAACATGCACCAGAGCAGGCGACTCCTGTAACAACATGCACTGCCCACTCTGCAAAACTAATAGGTAGAGATTTTATCCAGATCCTTTACAGAGATAACTGATAAATCAGCATTACAATGGCACAAAAATGCACACACACACGCACACACGCACGCACGCACGCACGCACGCACGCACGCACGCACGCACGCAC